ATATATCCTAAATGTCTGAAAAAAATACTCAAATCCAGTGTTTTCAGGTGTTTTCTTTGAAATCTATGGAGCCAAAATGCTCAATTCTGCCTGAAAGGTAGCTGTTTGGAGCAGCAGACATTCGGCAACATGTGGCAGTATGTTAAGATGTGAACATGGGCTATTGAATACAAAGGGTTTTTGCTTGTTAAACATTTTTTAGTTTTGAGCTACAAACTACAAAGCTCTCAGGTGTGAATGGGGACTTATTCTAACAGGTAATGAACAAGACACACAATATTTACTTTTTTTCTGTGCCAGGCATTAATTAATACATTTTCAAATTTATATAGTACATATTAAGCAAAATTAGGATCTTTATAATGAGATCTAACATTATTCCTAGTAGCCTTCCTACTACCAGGGGCGGACTGACCATTTAGAAACTCGGGCACTGCCTGAGGGCCCGGGGTCAGTAGGGGGCCCCATGAGATGCCCCTGGTACCTTTTTCATAGGCTTTTTTGAGTTTGGGCAAGGGCACAAGGGCCCCATGATCCCCTATTGCCCGGGGCCCATGAGTTGTCAGTCCACCCCTGCCTACTACCAAATATTGCATTTAATACATCACATATTTATTTCCATTCATTGCTAGCATGGGTATAATATATTTAAAGTTCAAAAACTAGAACCTAATTTCACATGAATGCAGCTTTTATGTGATACAATACAATGATTAGCTTTAGCAAAAAAAAAAAGGATAACCTATGATAACATACAAGTGCACCCAATTAATGTCTTATATTTATACGTATTACACATAATTTAGAGCTGTAACATTTTACATTTACTCATTTTAGTGAGTAAAAGATTAAAATGTAAACAAGTCTAAAATTATTTCTATTTCTGAAGAAGCTCACAACAAAATGTGTCACTTCTACAGTATATTGTATTACATGAAATTGCATCCATGTGGGAAGTTCTTCCTCTAAATCCCAAAGGGTTTCTACCCATGTCAGCAATTATTATAAAAAAGATTATGTAATTTATTAACTACATGGTTGTAGGCAGGCTACTAGAGATAATGTTAGACCTCATTATATGGGATTAAATTTGGCTAAATATGTGTAATTAATACAATGGAGTTTTTTTTAATTTGTAAGGTTTTTACAAAGTATCAATAAATATGCAATATGGATGTGGTGCCCATGATTAGTAGTGATGTGCCCAAAGAAAAAATGTGTTTCATTTCAGATTAATCCGTTAAGTAAATAATTTTGTTTTGTCATATTCGTTATGTTAGAATGATTGATTTTCAGACTTAACTTATATTCATTGTTCCAAATTGATTTGTATTTTTTGAAGTTATTTTGGAAGATTGACTATATTCATTTTAACATGTTAATTCGTTATTTTGGGAGATTACGTATGCACTCTGAGTCATCCCTGCTAGTCCAACCTACAAAGAATGAGCTGATTGGATGATATTGACTGGAGTCACGTGTATCCGAAAGTAACAAATGGAACTAAGCTAATTTTGGATTCATTCACTGTTATGAGATTCTAATGGATCCACCGCCATCCAACCCAAACACAGTAAGTAGGAATCATCTCATTTCATTTTTTTTACCTTGCTGTATTCATTGCAATATGTTTCCATTTAGTGCATTAATGCATTTTTTTTTATTATAATGAAAAATGTTCTTCAGTCTCCACTCGCATCGCTAGCCTACTAAGTGACATATCGCCTTGGATGTCACTCCACTTCCTCAAACTCAACCTTTCCAAAACTGAGCTCTTAGTATTCCCCCATGCCCGTGCCACCTCCATTGACTTCACCATAAATATCGGTAACACAATCATCAGTCCATCCCCTCATGCCAGGGTACTAGGTGTAACCCTAGACTCCCATCTGTCCTTCTAGCCCCAGATCCAATCGCTGACAAAATCATGTAGACTTCACCTCCGCAACATCTCCATGATACGACCATTCTTAACCCCGGAAATCACTAAGCTACTTATTCACTCCCTTATCATATCACGCCTTGACTACTGTAACTCCCTCCTCATTGGCCTACCTCATCGCAGGTTATCCCCACTCTAGTCTATTATGAACGCTGCTGCCAGACTCATCCACCTTACTAACCGTTCTGTATCTGCCACCCCTCTCTGCCAATCCCTCCACTGGCTCCCAGTTGCCCAACGGATAAAATTCAAAACACTAAAAATGACATATAAAACCATCCACAACACTGCCCCAATTTACATAACCGATCTTATCTCTAAATATCACCCAAACCATACTCTCTGCTCCTCGCAAGACCTCCTACTCTCTAGCTCCCTTATCTCCTCCTCCCATGCTCGTTTCCAAGACTTTTCAAGGGTGTCCCCCATCCTCTAGAACTCCCTACCCCAATCTATCAGACTATCGCCTACTCTACTTACTTTTAGGCGATCACTGAAAACCTATCTCTTCAGGGAAGCCTATCCCGCCCTCTGCTAATAATGGAATCCTCTACTCTTCCAACCACTCCATCCCCCACAGTTATTACCTATTGTACCATTCACCCCTCCCTCCTAGATTGTAAGCTCCAAGGAGCAGGGCCCTCAATTCTCTCTTGTATTGAACTGTATTGTAACTGTATTGTCTCCCAATATAATGTAAAGCACTGAGCAAACCGTTGGCGCTATCTAAATCCTGTATAATAATAATAATAATAATAATAATAAATAAAATGTTAATGCAAAAATAATTGGCTGATTATCCAGGAGTCAAAGACTACTGCGCTGCTTTCATCTGAATAAAATTAAAGGATCCGAATCAATTTGTATACTTTGTTATGTCGTTACTTTATTTTGGATGCTTCAAACATTAACAAAGAGCCCAAACAATCGCATCATGACATCCAAATGAAGCAAATTAATACATTGCTTTCGTTATAATTTATTTCAGATTTGTTGAAATTCCTTACTATTGGGATTCAGAGATTCCGATACATTCATATCTCCAAATAATGAAAATTGTGTCCAAATTTCTATTTGTAACTAAACGAATTGCACATGTCTAATGATCAGTTATCAGTCCACTCTGTATGTTTTCTAACAGGTAATGAAGGAGCACTGTAACCACATATATTTGTTGTCCTCTGATCTTTCCTCTGACTTTGTGGACAAAAGCATGTATTGAGCTCAATATACATACCAGGCTCAGAAGTGTCTCCTGCCCTGAACATTGCTTGCAAGGTCTAGTTTGCACTAGTTAGATATTATTGCTCTCCATGAACTCCCCACCCTCCATTGGGAGTGGATAAATAGCTTTTGCTGCTGACGACATTTCACCAGTATCTTTCAGTGTAGAACGACCAGCAGAGGGATTGGCCTCACAATGCAGGACAAGTTGATTAAAAATAAATTGGTTAGTTTACAGGTTAGTTTAATATGACTAACACCCAATCCTCATCCTCACCCAAGGGTGTTAAAGTACCCTTAAGTGGTGCTTTAACCCCCCCCCCCCTAGCATTTGCCTGCCTGGCTTGCCAAAAGAGTCCATTGCTAAGTCCCTACTGGAGTTCTCACAGGTCCTGAAGTCTTCAAGAGTGGCATCAAGACATGCAAGATTTTTTAGCTGAGCAACACAGAGAGCAGAGATCAGCTTTCCATTACTGTTTGCAGCAGCTTGTAATCACTGCTAATTGCTGCTAATAGAAGAGGTGCTGTGGAGGATCACATGACAGCAGATTTATGTAGGTTTTGGGGGGTCTAAGCAGGTGGGATTGGAACTGGGTATATTTAAATACAGTCATACAGTTGTGCTTTAACCCTAAAACCGAGGTTAAGTCCACCAATTCATGGTCGTAAAACTAACCTAAACTGGCCCTTAATGCTGATCTCCAGCTTGGTGTGAAACAGAGGCATCAAGCTGTCACCAGCAAAAGTTGTGTAAATGCAGAGAGGAAAAAGGTGCAAGCTGAAAAACAGCACAGTAAATAAACCCAGTTGGTATACAAACACATTGGGTGAAAAAGGTTTGCATTTTACAAATTGTTGAAAAACTGTAAACTGCCTTAGGGATACGTTTCTACCATTACATTCTACATTCCCTATTTAAGAATACAATATGCAAGTGCTGAATGCCTGAAGTCACCAGCATCCTCGAAGTTTCATCAAGTGACTTCTATAATAAACAACATTCTCAGCTTGTGCCGTGACTTACTGTAAACTCATGAAGCTATTCGCAAGCCAAGAGGGTCCAATGAGAGAAAGCTAACAAAATAGATATGCAAGGGACAGGAGACTAAAAACACTGGCTCAGCTTTTGCCTAGTCAAATGGGCTATTATTAAATAGTGTTTCAATGTTCCAATGATTTAAATGGTATTGTAATGTTATCAGTGGCCACAAATGTAATATGTACTCAGGAGAGACCTGCTGGACCACAACAAACTATACACAGAATTGTTATGTAGCACACTTGTTTAAAAAAAAAAGTTTGGTTTCCCGAGAGCATAGTCATGATAACAGATACACTTCAGTCAGACTGTAATATTTATAACAGAAATTTACGCTGTGGACACAGCTACCTGCCAATAGTATTTGTTTTTTTCCAGGCAGTGCTTGCACACCCCAGCACATCCTGCTATTTATAATCCTCTGGATGCTGGCAACCTAGTATTCTGAGAACATTGAATGTCAAGTATGCCATTTTGCAGTCCACAGATTCTCAATTCCAATCTCTGGAAAAAAAGTCATTATGAACACCATAAGGCGATAAGCTGGTCCAATGGCAGTTTACAGTAATCATAGTTCTCCAGAGGACAGTTTGGAAAGACAGAATGATTAGAAGCTGGTTGCAATTGCACCTACTAAAAGTTCTTGTGTGCAATGGATGATGTGGGATTTACAAAGAACACAGAGTAAGGTCCCTAACAAATGGGAGTTCAGTATGTCCGTATTTTATCTGTCCATTTATGGATGAAAAACGGACACCAATGTATGTCTATGGACTAGCGGATGTAGATGAATGATCATCTGTTTAATTATTTAATTAACCCCCCTGGCGGTATTCCCGAGTGTAGCTCGGGGTAAAGTTTCAGTACCACAAGCGGTAACCCCGAGCTACACTCGGGCTTACCATGCGGCGTTGCTCTGGGATCTGTTCTTCACTTACCTTATCCTGCGCTCCTGTGATGTCACTCCTGCAGTGTCCCCAGCAATGTCCTCCGGCGGATTTGTCATCTGGGTTCCGTTCCCTGCGAGCGTCGGGATGTACCGGGGATGGAGCGGCGGAAAATTTGAAAATGACAAAAAGTGACATTCACTAAATACACTAAAATCACTTAGTAAAACATTACTGTATCAAACCATTTCACATAAAATTTGTCCCGAGTGCTTTGTCCTGTGCCCCGCCTGCATTTTTACTGTTCTTCCTGCCTGGAAACTGAGAAACATCCATGGCGTCCAAAAAGCGTCCCTTTAGGTCAAAAGTGGTTTTAGACCAGCTAGAGAACAGCGATAGTAAATCAGAACAACTTGCAGAATTGAGTGATAATGATTCGTGGGGAAATTCGTCATCAGACACTGAAAACGATTTTGCGACTTTGCTCAGTGATGTGTGAACTTGGCGCTATATTTCAAATTTCAGTGTTTTTGGTTTGATTATATTATTGAATTAAATTTATTATTATTATATTATTTTTTATGATAATTAAATTATAATTGATGATTTTGTGTTTCAAATTACTCGGGATGTTTACTATTACTCTTGTTCGGACAGATTTCAGTGAGTTATTCCTAAAAATTACAGGCCAACAATAAAAAAAACATATTTCCATGCAAAAAAATGTACCGCTTTGAGCACAGAAATATGGACATAATCAGACTGCTAGGGAGGTTAATGTTCACATCAGTTAACACCTGTTTTTTTGAATGGAAGAAAACCCTAGTTTTTTCCGTTAAAAAAAAAGATGGAAACGGATGAAAAACTGATGTAACCAGATGTAAATGGACAAAAAGCGGATGTAAACAGACATATGGTTAATTTTTGCATTGGTAAAGGATGTAAAAAAACAGATGTAAACTGATGAAAAACGGATGTAAACTGATGAAAAATTGATGTGAACTAATCCATTTTTTCTTGGAAAAACCATGACAGAACTGTTGAAAAAAATAGAAGCCCCCCTGTGAAAGGACCCTAAAGTAAATGTAGGACATTTGATGACTTTAGCACAGCTGTGTTGTTTTCTGGATTGTCTAACAGTTTGTCAAACCATTTTACTTGCTACTTGGTGTTGTTTTCATAAAAGACTAAAGGGTGCCATACGCAGCTTCAGTTTTGGTCGATTTTCCTGAATTGGCCAACATTTAACTCATGGGAGCCCCTGTCTGCATCACAAATCTCAGCAAAAGTTGACCATTTATTCATTTTTTGTTGAAGAAGCCAGGTGGAAAATAGTTGGTTGAATAGTGATTGCACCCAAGCAGATTCAGTCATTGTTCAAATATTCCCACAGCCATGGGTGCCAGTGTAGAATACAATAGCTGGCAGGAGAGATTTGTCCGTCTGTGCTATTTAGCATGGATGGAGGAAACTGTTCCATTTTTTTAGTTCAGCATGCAAGCTGGGAGATCGATGTGTGTATAGGCAGCTTAAAGCTGATCCACAGAAATTCTTTTTTTTGCATACTTTTGCTATACATACAGTAAGTATCAAAACTGATATCTGGAGGGGTGCTAGGAATGCTGTAAATCACTGTAGAAGTTTGCGCTCCATACATCGATAGCCATACTCTTCTGTGTTCTGTGTGAGCAGCTTTCCCGCTGCACACTAAACACAGCAGGTCAGTCACTCAGCACTTCTGTCATTCATAGAACACCTTGTATTTTTTCAATGAACACAAGGCATTCTCTCATTGGATGGGGTGGAGATTGTTACATCACTGCCTCTCCTCTTCACCTGGTCCAATCAGAGAATGCCTTGTATTCACTGGAAAAAAAAAAGGATTCTATGGATAGCAGAGGTGCTAACCAAGCTACCCCTGTGTTCAGTGTGCAGAGGGGAAGGCACTTGCATCCAATCAGGATGATCACAGCTCTCCCTGTATGTAGCATGGAATATCACTGTGATTTACAGCATCCCCAGTGGCTTTCTGGATGTAAGGCAAGGACATTTACATCATGCCTACTGGTCCAATGTAAATATGAAAAAAATATAATTCCTGGATTTTCAGCTTTAAAATGAATGTTTTATTTACTTGTTATACATATCATAACAGTAAGCTGAGATACATACTGCACATGTTATTTTATCTTGGATTGGTGCATCCATATTTTATTTTATACTGCTTTACAGGTTATACTCTACATTATAGAAAATTAAACATTTTAGTCCTATTCAATAAAAGAGTTTTTATACCAACTTGCTAACTGCCTGCCCACAATGTACTGTGGGTGGGTGGCCCCTACAGGCACAGTGACATACCTATGCATCGCTGGCCCCTTCTTAATACCCGGTGCATGCATGTCCCTGTTCGCCGACTTCTGCTATGATTGTACACAGCAGGTGTTCGTCAGCAGGTCCCAACCAATGACTCATGGCTGGGACCTGATGATGGGCTATGTCCAATCACAGCCCAGAGCCATGTGTTGCCACAGAGCGCTATACAGAGGGAGGATATATAGTAAAAAGCAGCACATAATACACGCATTAATGCTTGTTAGGCACACAGTTAACCCCTTGATTACTCAAGATGTTAACCCCTTCCCATCAGTGTCATTAGCACAGTGTATAGTACAGTATTATCACTGACCACTATTAGTGTCACGGGTGATGTCAGTAGTAGTTAGTTCCCACCCAGTGTCAGTTAGTGTCAGATTGCCACCGCATTATCACAGTACCACTATAAGTCTCCGATCACCGCCATTAATAGTTTTAAAAAAATAAATAGAAATTCCAGTATATATACTATAGTTTGTAGACATTATAACTTCTACGCAAACCAATATATATACACTTATTAGAATTTTTTGTTTTACCAAAGACATGTAGCAGAATACATTTGGCCTAAATTTATGAAGATATTTGACTTTTAGATTTTTTTCATTGGTTATGTTTTATAGCAGAAAATAAAAAATACAGTTTTTTTCAAAAATGTTTTGTCTTTTTTCCTTTATATAATAAAAAAATTAAAACCCAGTGGTTATTAAATACCACCAAAAGAAAGCTCTATTAGTGTGAAAAAAATGATAAAAATTATTTGTTTGGGTTGAGCATTGCATGACTGCGCAATTACTAGTGAAAACAGCGCAACACTAAATAGCAAAAAATGGCCTGGTCATAAAGGGGGTAAAACCCTCTGGAACTGGCATGGATACTTAATACAGAACTCCGAACTCCAATCAAAATGTAAAAAAAAAGTCATCAGGTACAAAAACTGTAGCTGCCGATTTTAAAAATAACAGCCGAGCACCTGTCCCTCGATCCAGCGGTGTACTCACTGCAGCTGGTTTCACTGACCATCCTCTCCCCCACACCAGCATCTTAAGTCTGAACACCCGGCTATGACAGCTTGCGGCTTCACAGCCGTGTGCCCACTGCGCATGTCCTAGCAGTACTGCGTCTAGTGGAGCCTACAGGGAGGGAAAGGGGAAGAGAACTTCTGCATCCAATCGCCTAGGCAATCACAGCAGAAGTGGGAGCTGGTACCAGTCAAAATCGGGTGATCATTGATTAGTTTATCATGGTTTATACACTTAAAGTTTTAGTTCACTTTACAGAAGAAATGTATGCTAACAGCTCTGAGACACCAAAGGTAGGTACAGCGGGGACCAGGGGGAAGGGAGGGTGTCCATCGTTGGTTCACCTTTACATTTTTCATAAAGATGAACTAACATTTAAGTTTAAGCTCTTAAATTAAAAGCTTTTTTTGTACAAGTTTTTTTTTTAATATGATATATTTTAGTGCAAGTTTCAATACATGATGGCCAACATACTTGCATAAATGATATATAAAATTACTTTCTTGATAACTTTTCATGAGGATGCTTAATTTGTAGAACATCAGTTTTCCTGCATGTTTGCATTTATATATGATTTGAATACTTTATATCAAGTAAAAGGGCATAAACTAAGAAGGGTAGTGCATTAGTGATCATGGCCAAAGATAATAGCTTGCATTCACTCTGCACTCAGTTAAAAAGCAATTTGATTAAAATGAAAAACACTCAATCACTTATGGCATCTGTTAAGTGATTCTGGAATATTTGTGTTATTTACTTATTAACTATATATATGGCAAAGGCAGCCTATAGCTTCTGTACATTGTGGAGGTAGCAACTACATTTAAGAACAGGGTGCATATAGAATATAAAAACCACTGTTGGTGGTATTTCACATCTTTTATTGACCAAGGTTGATGCACTCAAGTCTAGTTTGCCATGTTTGTTGAATAAATATATGCTGCTTGGAGGGGAATGGGGTTTATTCTGTGAACCTTCACAATGCCCCCAGATGTGATGCGGTAACCACAACAAACATTAACGCATGCTATGGGTATCAGTGTGCGGCAGTACCATTCATGAATGGCCCTACATTTCACCAAGGCAATGCAGCTCTAACGATAAAGCATTGTAGTGCACCACAATTGACAACCCTGAGTTGTAGTGTCTTGTGTAAGAAAAAATGCTGCATGTTTGTTTCATTCTGATGCATTGACAGTTCATTCAAAATGAATGGGCTGCCTTAACTATTTCCTGCTTGCCTTTTTGTAATATGACAGCTTTCCTTGTTCCGGGTAGATGTCATATGACAACCTCTCAGAACACACCCTGCTGATGGCCATGTGGCCACGCTGCGGGTGCTATCTGTCACCTGTTGTGTCCCCCTGACATAGCTGATGACAGATCACTGTACTGGCCCACTGCTGGTACCATGTGACTGCTGTGACCAATCACAGCAGATCACATGACACTAGTAAACAGTGAATGGCTTCCTTTTATCCCTTTCACTATGTACAATTGTATTGTTTGCCACGATTGGCCACAGGGATCACATGGCACAGACAGGGCTAATCACAACCCATCTGTTCCATGTGATTAGCTGTAGCCAATCACAGCTAATAACAACAATACTTACTAAATGAATCAATTTCCTTCATTAAAATGCTTGCTTATAACATTGAAATTCGCTGCTACAAGCAATTATAATGTGTAGAAAAAAAATCCTGATCACTTTGAGAGTAGTACAATGTTACCATAGTAACATTGTACTACTCTCAAAGTGATCAGGATTTTTTTTCTACACATTATGTAGAAAAAGCGTGACCACTCTCTGGTCACAATTTGTTAAAAAAAGAAAGAAATGTAACAAAAAAAAAAAAATATTAATTAGTAATTATAATTATTATTATTTTTCATTTTTTTTCATACTGTCACCCATCAGTGTCCTTGATCACTGCCACAGCAGTTATATGATGTACTGCACTGGTGATAGTATGAAAAAAAATTTTTTAACTTTTTTTTTTAATTTCGTGTTCCAAAAAAAATCACAACTTCACAAAACTTGCCATGCCTCTTACTAAATACCTTGAACTGTCTACTTTCCAAAAAGGGGTCATTTGGGGAGTATTTGTACTGTCCTAACATTTTTGGGCCTCCAATAATGAGATAGGCCATCAGTACACCAGGATTGATCAATTCTCAGATATATACCAAAGTTTGTGACTTTCCTACTTACTACTAATAATAAGCACTGATTTGGGTTATTTTCACAAAGAAATGTAGCAGAATACATGTTTGCCTAAATTTATGAAGAACGATTATTTATTTACAACATTTTTTAACAGACACAAAGAAAAATGCTTTTTTTCCCCCAAATTTTCAGTTTCATTTTGTTTACCGAAAAATAAAAACCCAGTGGTGATTAAATATCACCAAAAGAAATCTCTATTTGTGTGAAAAAAATGATAAAAATGTCATTTGGGTACAGTGTTGCATAACTGTGCAATTGTTTTTTAAATTGACAGCTCTGAAAGCTGAAAATTGGCCTGGGCAGGAATGGGGTGAAAGTGCCCGTTATTGAAGTGGTTAGAGCTGAAATCCAGGAATTATATTTTTTGAAAACTTGAGCCAACTGAGCTCAATGTAACATGCATATCTGATATTTGGAAGGCCACTGGAAATTGTGTAAATCACTACATACAGTGAGAGCTGTGATCTTTTGGGTTCTGCATGAGTGGTTTCCCCTTTACACACTGACCACAGCATGTTGCTCACTCGGTAGCTTCGCCATTCATAGAACACTTTGTGTTTCTTTTTAGTGAATGAAAAACATTTTCATATTGGATGAGGTGGAGATTCTGATATCACCACCCCTCTGCTCCTTTATTTTCACCTCATGATCCAGCCAGTAACATATTTCCTGGGTTAGGGTGGCTCCAATCTACAGAGGAACAATGGGTCACCTTTGGAAAGCAGCAATGTCAACCTGTGGAGAGGGTAGTGTTAGAAACACTGGCAACTTTTGCTGGAGTTGACCAACAAATTGAACTCTAGCTAACACATTTTAAGCAGGTACGGCAACAGATTTTTTTTTCCTGTAGGGATTAACATTTTTCATAATTAACCTCCCTAACGGTATTCCCGAGTGTAGCTCGGGGTAAAATTTCTATACCAAAAGTGGTAAACCCCGAGCTACACTCGGGCTTACCATGCAGTGCTGCATAGGGAGTCCCTGCAGCACTTACCTTGTCCTTCGCTCCCGCGGTGTGTCCCCTGCAGCATCCCCGGCCATCTCCTCTGGCTGATGCCGGCATCCGGCTCCTGTGTTCCGGTCCCTGTGATGTCAGGTGGTACGGGCGCCGCGGCGGCGGGAAATTTGAGAATTTAAAAAAAATTTAGATAGAAGAGTCCACGGCGTCCAAAAAGCGTCCCTTTAGGTCAAAATCGGTTTTAGACCAGCTAGAGAACAGCGATAGTAAATCAGAACCACTTGCAGAATTGAATGATAATGATTCGTGGGGAAATTCGTCATCAGACACTGAAAACGATTTTGCGACTTTGCTCAGCAATGTGCGAACTTGGCGCTCTATTTCAAATTTCAGTGTTTTTGGTTTGATTATATTATTGAATTAAATGTAATATTATTATATTATTATTTTTTATGATTATTTATTAACCTCCCTGGCGGTATGATTATTTCAGATTTTTGGTGCTGAAAGCGGTACCATTTTTTTTGCATGGAAATATGTATTTTTTTTATTGTAGGCTGTAATTTTTAGGAAAAACTCACTGAAATCTGTCCGAACAAGAGTCTAGTAAGCATCCCGGGTATGATAAAATTTGAAACACAAAATCATAAATTATAATTTAATAAATAATCATAAAAATAATATAAAAATAATAAAAAATTTAATTCAATAATATAATCAAACCAAAAACACTGAAATGTGAAATAGAACGCCAAGTTCGCACATTGCTGAGCTCAGTCGCAAAATCGTTTTCAGTGTCTGATGACAAATTTCCCCCACGAATCATTATCACTCAATTCTGCAAGTGGTTCTGATTTACTATCGCTGTTCTCTAGCTGATCTAAACCGCTTTTGACCTAAAGGGACACTTTTTGGACGCCGTGGACATTTCTCAGTTTCCAGGCAGAAAGAACAGACAAAATGCAGGCAGGGCGCAGGACAAAGCACTAGGGACAATATGTATGTGAAATTGGTTGAGACAGCAATGTTTTACTATGTAAAATGTAAAAAAAAAAAAAAATGACATTTTTTTAAATTTTTAAATTTCCCGCCGCCGGCGGCGGCGGCGGCGCCCGTACGTCCCGACGTCACAGGGACAGGACACAGAAGCCGGATGCCGGCATCGGCCGAAGGAGATGGCCGGGGACGCTGCAGGGGACACATCGTGGGAGCGCAGGGTAAGGTAAGTGAAGAACACTTGCCGGAGCAGTGCCGCAGGGTAAGCCCGAGTGTAGCTCGGGGTTACCGCTTTTGGTACTGAAATGTTACCCCGAGCTACACTCGGGAATACCGCCAAGGAGGTTAAATTATAATTTATGATTTTGTGTTTCAAATTTTATCATACCCGGGATGTTTAATAGACTCTTGTTCGGGCAGATTTCAGTGAGTTATTCCTAAATATTACAGCCTACAATAAAAAAACTACATATTTCCATGCAGAATAATGGTACCGCGCTTTCAGCACCAAAAATCGGAAATAATCATACCGCTAGGGAGGTTAAGAGCTGACCAGTGTATGCACCCTTGTCAGTGGTCGAAAATGGTTCGACTCAACACTCCAACTTCCACTTCTTCTGGACAGAATGGTCTGTTTATAGAAATTTGGAAAATACTAGACTTTCTGGCTAGATCACTAGGTGAAAATAAAGAAAAAAGTGAACACAAATCACCACATTTCAGGATTGGCAAGCTGCAATGGCATACATTTTTTATTATTTTTGGTTTAGATATGCTTTAAGCCAATCAGAAAGCACTGGATTACACATTACACAGGAAGAAGGCACATACAACAGCAAGACATGCTCTTGTCATTAGTTGTGGAGAGCCCTGGGGTATAGTGCAGCACAGGAGTAGGTGTGTATTATCCTTCTTCCCCTGGTCTGTTAGTAATCCAGGGGTGGAAGAGAGGACTAATGATCTGTTGATTGCTCATCCCCCACATGCTAACCATTTACAATCGATTCTATCAAATGTGTTTATTGCATGTAGAACAGTGTACTTTGTACCTATTTCTTTTGTTCTGGAATTATCTTACACAGATAAAGATAGCTATAAAATGGATCTGGAATTAAAGCGGAGTTCCACCGAAAATGGGAAGTTCTGCTTTAAAGATTGGTTTGACACCTTTGGGAAGTGGGGGGGGGGGTGGAGAGCGGCTACGTGAATTTGACAGGTACCGCTCCCACTTTCGCTACGATCGCCTAGCTGCTCGGAAGTGGACGTTGTCCTCCTACCCTCCCTCCCCATAGTCTTGTGGGACACGTGGGTCCCTGGAGACGATGGGGCCATTCAGGAAGCGCCGCACTACTCGTGCATCCGCAGTGGGCACCCCAGCTGTGAAGCCGCAAGCTGTCACAGCCAGGTGCCCACACTGAAGATGCCGGCGCCTGGAATACAGGACGGCTGGTGACATCAGCGGGGAAAATGGGAGGAGCCCCAACATGGCGGCCGAGCAGAGCATGAGGTACTAGCATTCTGCTAGGCTCCGCTTTCCATCCTTCCCAGGGACCCTCTGAAGCTAAAAAAATGAAGGGGCAGACTCACCGGAGTTAGGTGGGCCGAGGAGGAGAGGTCGGAGAGCAGGGGAGGTGAGTGGCCCGTGAAGAGAGGCAGGAGCCTGGTCAGCGGGAGAGACGAGGAGACGCGGCGGGACCATGTGACTAGCCGCGGAGGATCTCTGGGAGGAGGTGAGACTGGCCGGCATCCCGAGCAGAGAGAGAAGTGCCGGCTTACTCCTGGCCTCGCTCCCCGGCGAGCAGACTGGCCCTGGACCCTGGAAAATTAGGAGAAGCATCCTGTTGCCTTGTGATGACCCCCAAGTGACCAAAAGGCCAAAGGAGACCCAGGGGAATCCCCCTAGGACTGAGAAAATCCCTCTACCCGATGACCAGAGCCTCTTACAAGTAAAGAGAAGGGTGAGTGAGAGCGGCTGGGGCTTTTTACATACTGGAATATTGTGTGTGTACTATAATCTCCTGTGGCAGAGGGGAGGAAAAAAAGGTGAAGGAGAGGAGGGGGGATTCCCAAGGGTCAAGAAGAGGTGGAGAAGAGAAGAGGAATAAGGAGACACAGAAAAGTAAAATAAAAGGAAAAATAGCAAGGCAAGGCTGGGTTAACAAGCCATAGACATATGACATACATTTGTATAAGGGGTCATAGAACAAAACAAGACCCATAGAGGACATGAAGAATAAAGGAATTAAAGGAGCAGGGCTCAAAGGGTCCCAAACGGGAACGATCAAGAAATATACTACTCAAGGAAATAGTACTCCAGAAAGGGCCCCAAGATGCTAGTGAAAAAGGTGAAATGGAAATCAGTTTGGGTAGTAAACCCTAGATTATCACTGGACATGAATAGCAGCTGTAGTCAACAAACGGTGGAAAGGCTGGAGAAAAACGAACCTGAGGGTGAACTACATGTACCAAATAAAAAAGAGATGATAGAAAAAGTCTGGAGAAAATTATAAAGCAAGAAATGACATCTATTCGGAATGATTTGGGGCACCTGTTGCTGAGAGTGGAGGAAACAGAGGAGAAAGTTAAAAATCAGGCCCAAACCATTGTTAAACTAGAAAGGAAGATAATAAATATGGACTTTATTCAGAAAAAACTTCTTTATAGGATGGAGGTTCAAGAGAATAAAGAAAGAAGGAGTAATCTTAGGGTACGAGGAATCCCAGAGTCTGTAAAAGGGGAATCACTGTATGAACTAGTTAGTAAAATTCTAAACTCCATAATGGATAGAGCGGAATCTGAAGGGATTAATCTGGATGGAGTGTTCAGAACAGGAAAGTTCAAACAGATCATGGGGAAGGAGAGACCGAGGGACACAGTTGTTCAATTTCAAAAATCTGGGGACAAAGATAAGATTTGGAGGAAGATTAAAGGAAGATCAATAATGAATTATAGAGATTTAGATATCCAAATCTATGCGGACTTAACATCAGAGACCCTATGGAGAAGAAGATCCTTGAGACCTTTATTGGAACAAATGAGAAAGCAGAAGGTGCAGTATAGATGGGGAACCCCAGAATGCCTAATTGGATGGAGAAACGGAGTTACAGCCTATCTGAGATTTCCAGAGGAACTGAGAGTCTTTTGTGAGAGATTGGACTTGCAAAGAATGGAAATAGAAGGATGGGAAGAAGAAAAAGGAGAAGTAGAAGACATAAGAAAAGAGGACTGGCTGCGGGTTAGGGGAGAGAAAGAGGGGGGGGGGTTTGGGGGCGGGGAGAGAGGGAGTAGGGGGGAGAAATAGAGACTCAAATTTTTTTTTTTTTTTTTTCTCTCTCCCTTCAATTCTCCTCATCTCCCACTCACCCCCTTCTGAAAATAGGGTATTTCTTCCGGACTGATTTCTTCTTTTTTCTGAGTCAAAATTTTTAGAGAGAGGTAAACTGGGGAGGATGGAGGAGAGGTGAGCCGCCCATGGGCGGAGGTCAACCCCAAAGTCTTAAATCAAGGGTGGGAATGATCCCACAAATGATTAGTAGGCACTTTACAAGCCTAAAAAGGGGTAGGGGGAAAGGGGGGAGGGAGGGGACAAGAGTTGGGTGGGTGGGAGGGAGGGAGGGAGGGAGGAGGTATTGGGTCAATACTCTGCATGACAGAAGGGATAAAGAGGAAGAGGCAATCTGGAAGAGAGATGGAGTTAATTGGGAATGATGGAAGAAATACAGTTTATAACCTATAATGTGAACGGGTTGAGTTGTCCAGGGAAGAGATTTAGGTTGTTTAATGAGTTACATCATAGGGCTACGTCAGTGGTATTTTTACAGGAGACGCATTTTGAGATAGAGGCAAACGGGAAATTGAAATCCAAACACTACCCAACATGGTACTATGCAGATTCTCCAATTAAAAGAGCAAAAGGGGTTGCAATAGGTTTGGCAAAGAATATGAGATTTGAGCTGGAGGATAGAAGAACCGACCCGGAGGGGAGGTTTTTATTCTTAAAAGGTAGACTCCAGGGGATTGAGTGTACTTTAGCCAATATATACCGCCCTAATAAAAACCCGGAGATGTATATGAAGGGTCTGCTGAAAAAAATTAATGGAATTTAAAAAAGGGCGCTTGATAGTAGCTGGAGACCTAAATTTCTGTATGGACCCCACAAAAGGATAATACCTCTTCCGTGCAAAAG